ATCGCGAAGCCTGTTACGCGAGACGTGGTCTGGCGTACATCTACCTAGCTTTTAAGGAACTGGAAAAAGTTTAATCATAAAATACATCACTAACATGTTCAGAAAAGAATTTGGAAAGAAGTCAGTTCTGCTTGGCACACCAACAGGAGTCTCAGCTGTTCTTATAAATGGAAAAACACTTCATTCAATTTTTAAGATTCCAAGAAAGACCAACAAATTTACTTCCCTTAAAGGAGAGCAAGCGAGAGACATGTGCAATACAATGAAGGATGTGAAAATTTTAATTTTAGATGAGTATTCAATGATTGGGTGCAATACACTATCAATGATTAACAGAAGATGTAAGGAGGCTTTGGGAAATGATAAAGACTTTGGCGGTCTAATGGTAATTCTGCTTGGAGACATCAAACAACTGCCAAGTGTCAAAGACAACCCATTCTTCTCTAAAACACAAAAATCGTTACTTGGAAAGGAAGGCAAAGCACTAATCAATAATTTTGAAAAGGTTTTTGTGCTGAAAACAAGCCATCGTCAGGCAAATGATCAATCCTTTCTTAATTTACTGGATAAAATGAGTGACATGCAAATGTCTTCAGAAGATTATCGTCTTTTAACATCAAGATTCACTTATAATGTATCAGTAAAAGAGAAAGATTCATTTGAGGATGCATTAAGATTATTTGCAACCAAAGATGAAGTAAAGCAATATAATATTGAGAAATTAGCTCAACTAAAGGATGACTCAACTGGAACCCCAAATCCTGTGCTTAAAATACCAGCTAAACATAACTGTTCTCAGGCTTCCAAAGAATCAACTGATAGTGCTGAAGGTTTAGAAAAGGACATATTTTTGGCAAAAGGCTGCAAAATTATGCTAAAGTCAAATGTATGGCTCACTCACAAGCTGTGCAACGGAACTACAGGAACAGTCCATGATATTCTTTTTCATCCACAAAAAGGAACCCCATCAGTAATTTTATGTAATTTTCCCTCGTATGATGGACCATCCATAATACCTGGAACAAAATTGGTACCAATAAAAGCAGTTTTAAAATCATGGACCAATAGTAATGGTATAAACTGCACAAGGTTTCAATTCCCAATTACTTTATGCTACGCATGTAGTATCCATAAATCACAAGGAATGACGTTAGAAAAGGTAATATTAACAACAAGAATTATTCTTTTAATTGAAAAATAAACCTCAACCTTAAAATTATTTCCTTTACAGGCAGTAATTAATATTGGAAAAAGTGACTTTTCATTGGGTTTAAGTTATGTAGCATTCTCAAGAGTAAGATGTTTAACAAACCTTATCATAGAACCTTTTCTTCAAAAAAGATTGATACCATCTCCAAGGACTCTTGCTACATTAGAAATGAGACAAGACTTTTTAACATTGTAGAATTGGGGGTTTTAGGAGAGCCAAGATCATGTGAACAACAGATCGCATGAGTGGTAAATGGCGACGAGTCGAAGGCTAGCGCCTCTATTTATTCAGTGTTTGGCATAACAACAAGAAGAACAAGGCGATCGTAAAACAATTAAAGGTTCAGGGGTCTGAGTGTAGGTGTCGCCTCCATAGTGATCACTAGTGGCCGTGACTGAGGGTATTCTGCTGTAACCTGGTTAGGTTAATGTTACCATAATACTACACAACTCCCTTCTTTTTAGAACCCTTCCCTAAAAATGCTCAGAAAATTTTAACAATCACAAGAGCTTCGCCTTGAACTTCATACAATACACTTGGACGTTAACGTAAAAATTGATTGAACTGACTCTACTTTTAAACATTGTTGATAAATAAACGAACAAATTCTCAATAATTTCAACTTAATTAAACCTGTGAATTTCCACTTTGCCAAACCTACGGCTTATTCAAACCTACTAGTCTGGCTCGGTGTGCAAACAAAAAGAAATTGACTTCCCTCCTAGCATGTAGCAATGCATTAGTATGATTCCTTGCCGGACCACTATCAACTTGCTATCAATAGTAGTTTAAAAATCCATTCAGGAGATCAACCACGGAGTTCCATGCCTTT